AAATATATTTACCAAATAGTAGTGATGGCCAACTATTTTTTTTTTTTGACAAGTATAGTAAGTCCATGGTATTAAGTGTCCTTGTATATATTCAGGCTTATAATTACAATCAGGCATCCTTTGCTCCCATCCATAATGTCATAAACATGAACCAGAATATCCAAACACCCTTTGTATACAAGGGTGTTCTCAGTTAGGAGACAAACCTGCATGAGTTTTGTATCATGTCCTGTATAAACAACTATTCCATGAACCCATTGTGTATTTCTTAGCTGAGCACCACGGAGAAGAATTTGGTCAGGCCCCAGTGGAACAGTCCTAAAAAAGAATACAGCAAAAATTAGTTAAATTGAACTGATCACAAAATAACTATTTCAGAAACATTAATGTAGAAACAGATTTTTTTTGTTCTGGGAAATTTAGGCACATTTATTAAATGTAACTTTCTTAAGATTTCTAAATGAGAAACCAATACAGAACATAATTTTAACTGTGCTATTAGGTATGGATATATTATATTTCTCTTTGCATCTAATATATTGTACATATCCTGTTTGGACCATGGCTTATCAAATGTAACCAGAAATAGCTTTATGACTGCCTTGTACTAATATTTTCCCATTCCTATTAAATATGGATACTAAAGTATTAATTTCAATTATCAAAACTATCCAAAAATGAGTCACATTCTGATTTAATATGGGTCGCAGAATTAAGCATCACCACTTCACTAGGGATTTTTTAAGAGTGAAAAAGTTAGAGATAATACATATGAATAAATGAAATAAGGCCTCTTGTATCTTTAATAGCGCTAGAAAAAGCTTTTCAGTTTAGTTTTTCATCTTTATCTGCTATCAGTGCTCAATCTATTAAAGTACACAACCTCTATCCTCCTTTGTCTTTGTACTGCTGATGAAAGCAAAATGCTAACCATTTTTGTAGTAGAAATACCACAGGTCTTGAGAGATGATGTTGTTTCCGCGTTGATTCTTCTTTCAATTAGCAATTTTCTTATGTGTGTTAGTAGAAACCACCCAGATCTTAAAATGCTACTGAACCCATTAAAAGACGACTTCTGCAATACAAGACTTGACCCTGGAAGGGCATGATGGCCTGGTACCTATGACAGATCTGGCTGAACTTTATATCCCCTATTTCTTTATATTAGGCTTTTAGGTACTATCTGCTATGTCTACTGAATGGGAAATCAGGGTATGCAAAACATTTCCAACTCAAAATGATGCTCCAATCTCTTATAATTAACATCAAAACAATCCGTCTGCCATGAAGATTTGGACTGTATTATGCAATTAAAAGCAGGCATAGGTTTTACTTCTGCTAGTACTGAGTGGAGCTGGTTAAAGGGAATAGGAGAATAAGGTGTTAACCCCATTTCTCAGAGACTGACAACCATTTTGGACATGGCAGGTATGTTATTGCTATTAAATTCTTTTATGTGAAAATTAAGTTCATAGATTATGAATGATTTCTATGTATTTGCTAAGTGCTTTGTGTTTTCTTTTAAGGACAGAGAGCCAAACGCAAAAATGTGCACTGTGCATGAGCATTCGTAGATAATTCCTATTGTTCTTTTATGGGCAGAGAGCCAAACGCAAAAATGTGCACTGTGTATAACCATTCATAGATATTCCTGTTGTTGTGGTTGTTGAGCTTTTCCAGTAAACTATGCCTTGTATGTTAAGCTTTGCTAGCAAACGGCCATATACAAAAATGTGCATTGCACATGTGAATAATAGATGCATTGTTATACCGCCCAGCTTTTGAGCTGACAAATGCAAGATTATGCTTTTTTGTTGGTTGTGCGACTGCCAAATACACTGGGCAAGCATGTAGATTAGAAAGAGGTCTCATAGCCAGAGAAGTGGATTTTTCCTGTTGATTCATGAGCGCTGCTGAACTGAATACGTTTGCTCTTTCTTTGTTTCTAGGTCCAGTTCTTTGCTGTTTGTGCAAGCAGCATTTAGGCTTCAGAAACGGTTTTAACTATTACTTCTATTGTTTGGGATAGTAATTTTTACAATAATCTGCTCTGCCATTTTTTCTGTAGGTTGTGCGATGGCTACTACTTAGCTTTGGCCATCACCTACTGCCATGATTCTAGACTGAAAAATAAGCAAGCAACAGGCTTGTTTTAAGTTCCCGTAAACAAAATATAGGAATGTTCAAAATGTTTCAAGTTCTGTTCATTCTGAATTTAGGACGTTTGAAACATTTTAACCGAATGTTCCAATTGGGGAAGTTTCACAAATTTATTTTTGTTTTGCACACAGCTTCCTTGGGGAAGGAGATTCATGGTTCTTTCATTGGGTACTGTTCACTGATGTAATCGAGGAAAAATGTGTACAAAATACCTTCCTTAAAATTAGCAGAGGTTTACTTACTTATTTGAGCCATTATGATCCCAGAGAGTCAATCCACAAATAGAAACAGATTTTGCTCTCCACATCAGCTAGCTGTATAAAAGTCTGCTAGAGTAGGGGAAAAAAACTAGGATGTGCAAGGAAAAGTCTAATACATCTAATATGGGATTGGCTGACAATTTTGACAGTCTGTCTGGATATTGGAAAAACTATGATTTTATACCCCAGTTTAACCAGAACAATGGTTAACAAACTGGTATTATAACAACAACCTCATGCAGCCACTCATGCAGGTCTTAATGGAGTCATTCAGAGAAAAAAATCAAGAGTGTCTGGATTCTGCTTTTGCTAAATAAACCTGTTTTTGTTGATGCTGAAAGACCATCACTCAAATCTTTAGTTTAAATATATCTGAGAAAATGTTCCCAAATTCAGAGAAAATTCATTAACTGACAACAAAGCTCTCTATCTAGTGTTGATCTCCTCTCAGAAATGAAGCAATAGGCAAATGCTTGCTGGAACAGGGAAATTATTTCTTATCATATCCTTGTTTATGTAAATATCTGTATGGCCTATTATGCCTTTTCCTTTTTTAAAAATTAATTTTTATTGAAGGGATTTTTTACAGAGTAAAAGTGATACAAATATAAAGAAAAGAAAAGTGATAACTGGATAAATAAGAAATAAAAGAGGAAAAAAAAGAAAAAAAAGAAATATAAAGAAGCGGCTTCTGATCTTCTTTACAGCAATTATAAATATATTTATATTTTATCCTCTCTCTCTAAAAATATATCTTGGCTCCTATTATGCCTTTTCTATAAAAACAAGGTAAAGGGTTTAGACTATAGAGAAATACTTCAATTATCACATTTGCTGATCTGTTTCAAGGACTGATGTTTTTTATTACTATGATGTTTCTTGGGGAAACAACTGGCAATTTCTCAATAAAGGGAACATCAAAACAGTGGGTTGTGAACATTTGGCAAAAGCCAACTGCTAGAATTCAGTCTAGAAATTATTTGATCTTAAAAGAAAAGCCAACACACTAATTTAAAATAAATTCCTGAATCAGAACTGTGAAGAGAACTTACTTCCTTATCTCAGGCAGGAAAATTATTTCAGAAATCCGTGGGTAGTTTAATACTTCAAATTATGGCTTTTGCAGCTCTGCATTCCCAATTCCAAAAGAGGGGATTAACCTATCTAGGTCTGAGTTCTATCCACTGGGAAGAACAGCAGCAAAATAATTATTTAGCTAATTTTTAAAAAAAAATCATGTCTAAATTGGAAATGCGGTGTGGAACTGTAATAATGTTCAGATAAATGATTTAATAAATAAATATTTTTCTTTTGTGAAATGAGAAGTACAGTACAACTGTAATAGAACCACATTCTTGAAAAGTGAAAAAATTCAGTGATGCGTTAGTAAGAAACCAGTAAATAAATAGGACATAAAAAGCGGGTCAGAATTAAGTACTGGAACCAGAAAAAGCAAGTTTGAAACTTTTAAAGTTAATGTGATCACATTCAAATTAATGTAACTATAGTTGAAATTAAAAGACTGGAGATTCAAGCGGAATATTAGGAAGAATTTCCTGACTGTAAGGGTTTTTAAGTAGTGGAACAGTATGGTTAGAATAATACTGGACATCCTTTCTGTGGAAGGTTTCAGACAAAGGCTGAAAGGCCACCTGTTTATTGTAATGCTGCACTAGACAACCTGCAGTTCCCTCCCAATATGGTAAGAATAAAGCTCACTTCAAAAAGTAGTTACAGTGGGGCAAAAAAGTATTTAGTCAGCCACCAATTGTGCAAGTTCTCCCACTTAAAAAGATGAGAGAG